TACAAGTGCAATATGAGTTTCAAGTGTAGAATTTAGCAATTCATCACTTACAACATCCGGTGTTCATCCTAAGTGTCCTCCTTAATACCCATCACCTGTTTAACCCATCCCTTGCTCCCCTCCCCTCCAGTAACCATCAGTTTGTTCTCTGTAGTCATTCCCAGATCTCTTTTTAAATGTCACTTTCACCTGATTTCTTTAATAAAACAGTATAAAATAGTTTTATTAAATCTGAACTCAATACTGTCTTTTTCACATTTTATGTGAAAGAATGGCGATATTGAGGAAAAGCACCTCTGTAATTACTTCAAATGATGAGCTAACTTAATCTTTTTCTCATAAAACATCATTTCGACCTAAAAGAACAAATGACAAACTATGCTTGTAGGCTTAGGAATTCGGGAGACCTTTTCTAAAAAATAAACCAAGTACACCTGCAACTTCAAGGAAAAAACACTAACTGTATTTGTTACCAACGATTAATATTTAAACCTCCTAGTGAAAATTTAGAAATGTGGAAAATGTTTATCTGTCACTCTGAACTTGACAGCTTCACAATATTAAAGAGTTTTTTGATGAAATTAGCGGTGATGTTAACAATTTTTTTCTTTTGTTTGCTAGTACCTAAAGAAATGCATCAACATTTGGAAAACGTATAACTCAATGAACCAACATTTCTCAAACCACCATTATATGATGTCAGAAAATCATGAACAGGTAAAAGATTCATTCAAAGTGCAAAATAAACCAATGGATTATCAGGTAACAAGAATGAAAAATTCACTGATACAGTGTCCAACCTGACACCGCAGCTATATATCCTTTAAGAAATTTTGGTATGGTGGGCAGCCTGGGTGGCTCAGAGGTTTAGCGCCGCCTTTGGCCCAGGGCATGATCCTAGAGACCCGGGATGGTCAGGCTCCCTGAATGGAGCCTGCTTCTCCCTCTGCCTGTGCCTGCCTCTCTCTCTCTCTCTCTTTCTCTCTCTCTCTCTCATGAATAAATAAATCAAAACTTTAAAATAAATAAATAAATGTAGATATGAGAATTAAGCTGTTTCTATTTAACCAGACATAAAAGCCTTGGAAAAATATTCAACAATGTCCCTCTTTTTGCTAAGATTTGTTTTGAAAAATAGTTGTTTTGTTTATAACATGCAATGATTTATTTTTTTTGAACAAACCAACTGATATTTAAAAATTTTGTAGTACAGGAAGTAAAATAAATATAATCCACATAAACCAAAGCTCTGTGGGGTTCTTAGTAATTTTAAGAGTATAAAGGCATCCTAACACCAAAACGTTTGGAATAGTTGCCTTAGGTCTACTATTACTTGTAATTATATTATTATGCTATAAAGAGTAATTTCTCCTAAGGATAGATGAAATGTATAAGGCACACTGACCCAAAGCAAGTTGTCCAAGACTACTCTACTGCCTAAGTTATTCAGTGTTCTTTCCATTATCCTATTCCCTTCTGGGAACTTAAGGATGCTGTCATAGTGCCCTTCTCAACTCTTCTGGTACAGAAAAAAAGACCGGAAACCACTCAATACGTACAAAAGTAAATAGGTTCTGAATAAGGATGTCCATAGAGCTGATGTCCCCAGATGTTATTACACCCATTTTGATTATTTGTCTTTTTATTATTTTCTACTTTTTCTACTACATTCTATATACCTAAAATCATAGGTATTCTCCACATAAAGTCTTTTATTAATTTTTAGATGATCTTTTCTATTGTCTTACACACTACCATTTCTTAAGCCTGGCAAGGCCTTCATCCAATAGTACCTGAAACAAAATTTCAAGTGACAAGAATAAAGTGACAGTTCCACTGTGCTTATTTCATAAAACAAAGGAAGGCAATTTCAAAATTTTAGGGACGCCGATAGAAAAGACACCTACCTTGAGAGGTAGGACAGAAAGGAAAGTGACAAAACGAAGAAATATACAGAGAGATGTTTGTGTCAAAACCTTAAGAAGTCAAAAGCATAATAAAACAAGAAGGCATAAGGGTTTATAGAGAGTCTTATTAATAAAATTAGTATGTAAAAACCTGATCTTAACAGAAGAAATTCTGGGGATATTAAAAAAAAAAAAGAGTTCAGGAAGCATAAATAAAAACAAAATATATTAATGAGTAGCAGCTTACAATACTGGCATGTAAACTGAGTGGGAATGCAAAAAAAAAGGGTATTTATAATCAAATGGGGCAAATAATTTTTTTCTATTTATGTTGTAAAGAGTCTTTTTAGGTGATGAGCATGGTCTCAAAGTTCAGAAAAGAAGGGAAGGGCAACATACAATCAAGAAACAACAGCTGACCGTGGAGAAAATAGAGGAAGTAAATAAAGCAAACTATAAAAATAGGAAGCTAAAGAAATTAGAAGACAATGTCTAACAATAGCTAGATTCCTTTTTTACGATTAGATAACAGAGGCAAACGCTAAAGGTAAATCTGAAAAATGGGTGTAGTACGGTTCGAGTTAATGATGAAAGGCACCAAGAAAGAAACAAAAGATGCAGAGTCAATCAAAGAAAACTTGAAGGCAGAAGTGCTGAGCTCCTTCCTTACAAAAATCAAAAGTATTATCAGGCATAATCCACATAAATATTTCTATGGCAAAAGCAAAACAGCATGCATGCAAAAACTGAGCAAACTATTTTGACCAGCAAAGCACAAGTACAATTTATGTTGTCAGGACAGAAAAAAATAAAGACCTCTTTAGAATCTACAATGCAGGTGTTGGGGGGGGGGGGAATCTAATAGGGAAATAGGCAAGAGAAAGAGTCAAAACAAAAACTTCAAGCAACAGTGCCTTTAAAAAGAATCTAGGTAGGTAGCCCTCACAAAAAAGAAACTACTTTGCTATCCAACATCACTAAAATTATGCACAAACCCAAATATGTTACAAACACTGCCATAATCTATTTCTAAGACAAAACAGCTTAAACTCTTGATTATGTTCTCTATAAGCAATTATTTAAAATAAATGCTGAAACATGCACCTAACTTTCTGAAATTTTAAAGTGTTTCTTAAAGTAAGGTATTGTTTAGTACCTTAGAGTTCAGTATCACTATCGCTAAAAGAGGGGAATTTATCAATTTAGAGATTTATAAATGATATATGTAAAATGTCTCTAACTACAGCTACCACTTCATTAAGAAATAGCATGCAATAAAAACTGGGTTTCCTTTTTTGAACCACCGTAAGCTTTTCAGACACGAAAAGTTTGCAAATGCTGGATCTCAAACAGCAGGTGAACTTCATAACATAATATTTGAATTAATTAGCTGCTGGATTAAGTTTATCACCATTGAAAACTCCTAAGTACCTTCCGTAAATAGTGCCATTAAATATGTATTTTGTGCAATGTAAACAAAAGCTTTGGAAGTACTCTAGATTTACCAATTTAATCTAAAAAAAACCCCATATAATGCTAAAAAGAATACCCAAAATGTAAAGCCACTTGAATATTCTGATTACGTCTTTCTTAACCTCTTTTCAAACCCCATGGTCACATTTTAAACAAGGCCTGAAAATATGTATAGTCTGACAATAATATAAAGCCTAAAATTGATCAAGTTAATCCGGTACTGAAGTAACAAAATTCTAAGTAAACCACAAAGTAAATTTTGCCTTGGTGGTACAAAAGGAAACAAAGGTTCTACAAAGGTGAACATTTCCCATTTGTAAAGTGTGCTGTCTCCATCTAAATACACTACTGATCCTTTAAAAAAAAAAATCAAGAACTTTATAAATGGACTTAAGCAGTCATTTTCAAGTGCTACAATACTTTTCACTTGTAAAATTTACTAATGCAGAGAAACATCTTCACAAAGTGATAATTCTTTATAAAAGACTTGCTCTATTAAGGCTCTGCTGCTCTGAGGCCAAGTATAAGCCATATAAGGAAACTGAAGTTCAATGCCATTTATTTTGTTCTGCTCTTTTAGATGCCCAAGAATAACCTCTTTCGTTGCTTAATATTACTTACCCAAGTCATAAAGCAGATCACCTATACACTTTAAATTCCTTCATAAAGCTACTCTGACTTAACAGGAATGACTTGAAGGTCCACAATCTTACCAACACAAACAAACAATAAATTTCTAAAAATATCTCCAAGGACTACACTCTGAGGGGGGGGGGGGGAATCAAGACAATATACAGTAAGAGTGGAAAGACTCTCATTTTGAAATGCAGTTCACCTAACAACAAACAAGCTGTGAAATAATTTGATCCTGCTCTTCAAAAGTTATCTTTTCTCTGAACTAAAGAATGCCAACTATTTTTCACAGGGTAGCACGAGCAAAGTAAGTATTAATTTATAGTTAAGATATACCTACCAAAGGATGCCACACTTCTTTAACATTTATTCAAAAGCACAGTATTAGGTTTCACCTACTTTACCAAAGTACTGAGAGAAAAAAAAAAATTAAGACACACTAAAATACCGAATAAAAAAGCTATTTGTGTTTGTTGTGAGCAAAGTAGTTTTCTCTACAAAGACTACCGATTGGCTCAGAAGTGTTTATAACTCCGACTGGTGGGCTGTCTCCCCGGCTTCACTAATTCCTGCCCCCACAGGAGGTCCCTGTGGCTTATTAGACAGAACCAGCCAAAACCTTAGGACCAAAACCTAAAACCTACAGAGACCTAAGGAAAGTACTATTCTAAAGGGACAGATGTTTGTTATAATCAATACGACTCCCACAACGACCCCTTTAAGCATTTCACTTCCCTCTCTATACATTCTGTTCTCAACTGCAGAGAAGTCTTAACAGATCAAACTACTCACGGCTGTATTTTTGTTTTTTGTTTTTTCACTACAAGGCTGGGCGACCATAACGCTCACTCTCTCTTTCTCCTTCCTAGGTCAGTTAACAAGAAACATTGAGCAGAAAACTTGCTTTCGATTCATTGACCAAACAAGTATCATTAGGGTTGTAGATGTCTGAAAGGAGCCACTTAACTGGAGAAACAGATCACTCACCTAAAATTCACAAAAAAACAACAGAACACAACAGGGAAGACTCAGAAGGGCAAGGTCCGTGGATAAAAATCCAACCAAAGACGTTTCTAAAGGTTGCAACTAGAAAAACAGAATGAAGTAAAATAAAGTAAAATAAAATGAAGTAAAATAAAATAAAATAATAAAGATAAAATAAAAAATAAAGTAAAATAACATAAAGGTACTAAAATAAATGAAATAATAAAATAAAGATAAAATAAAAAATATTAAAGTAAAATAAAAAAGGTAATAAAGTTAAATAAAATAAAGGTAATAAAATAAAATAAAAAAGTAAAATAAAATAGATAACAATAAAGTAAAATAAAGGTAATAAAATAAAGTAAAATAACAAAGTAAAATCAAAGTAAATAAAAAAATAAAATAAAATAAGCAAAACAAAGTAAAATTGAATTAAATAAAGTAAAACTAAATCAATAAAATTAAATAAAGTAAACAAATAAAGTAAAATAAAATAGAACAAACAAAAACGAAGGCAGAAGTCGCAGAGCCGGTAACAGTACCACAACTGCGGCAGCCATCTCAACGGCGGTAAAGCCCTCGCTGCAGGGACCTAACTTTCCCCCCAAAACAGAAGTTGCCAGGTTCAGCAACTTCCCTGACGCAGAAGTGCACACGCCGTACAGGTTTGGGGGAAGTCGGCGTTGCGGAGCGGGGCGGCACAGAGGCCCTGCCGCGCCGGCTCTCGGGCTCTCGGGCTCTCGGGCTCTCGGGCTCTCGGGGTCTCCGGCCCCGGGTCCCGCCGCTCCGCCGCCGGCGCCGCCTCCCGCCCGACCGGGCTCGGGGCTGGCGCGGGGCTGGCGCGGGGCTGGCGCGGGGCTGGCGCGGGGCGGCTCGGGGGGCGCGGGGGGCGCGGGGGGGGGGGCCCGGGAGCTCCGGGCTCCGGCTCGGGCGCTGCGGCGGGAGCTAGTTACCTGTCGGGGCGCCGCTCAGGGCCGCTCCCCCGCCGCTCCGCCCGCCATGCTCCGCTCCCTCCCGGGGCGCCCGGGCCGCGGCCGAGCGGATGTGCGGCGGCCGGGGCGGCGGGCCCGGGCGGCGGCGGGGGCGGGGCGGCGCTCCGGGGCCGCCGGGCAGGGCCGTCCCAGCCCGACCGGGATCTCCGCCGAGCAGGGAAAAAAAAAAAAAAAAAAAAAAAAAAACTTTTCAGTCGTGACACCGCCCGGAATCACGGCGCGCAAGTGCGTCCCCGCGGCGGCGGGCCCGGGCTGGGGGCCGGGGGCCGGGGGCCGGGGGCGCGGGGGGTGCAGGGGGGCGCGGGGGGCGCGGGGCGCGGGGTCCCGGCCGCGCTAGGCCTCCGGCTCCGGGTTATTGTCTCGACAGCGCCCGCCGCGCCCTCCGCCCGCCGCCGCCCCGGGGCCGCCGCCGAGGGGCCGGGCGAGCTTGCGGGCGGCCCCCTCCCCGCCCCGCCCCTCCCGTCCCCGGGCCGCCGTCCGTCCGTCCGTCCGTCCCTCCGTCCGTCCCTCTCGGCGCCGCGGCGGGCCGGCCCTCGAGCCGCGCTCTCCTCCCTCTCCCGGCTTCCCGCCGCCGGCCCCTCGCTCCCCGGCTCGCTCTTCCTCCGGGCGGCCGCGGCGGGGGCGCCCCCGGGCGGCGCAGGGGGGGGCGCGGGGGGCGGGGGGGCGGGGCGCGGGGGTCCTCTCGGGCTCGCGGGGCCGCGGCGGGGGCCGAGGCTGCGTCCCGCGCCGCCGCGCCACCTTCGCTCGGGCTAGCGAGCCTGCGAGGGGAGGGAGGGGCGGGGAGGGGGGAAGGGGGAGGGGGGAGGGAGGGAGAGAAAGGCGGAGCAGGGAGCCGGGCGGAGGGGAGTGCCGGCCTCGCAGGCCGCGCGGCAGCAGCAGCAGCGCCACCGCCACCGCCCCGGCGGGCAGGGGGAGAGACGGCGCGCGGCGGGGCAGGGGCGGGGCGGGGCGGGGCGCCTCCCGCGGGCTTGGCCCCCCCGCCCACGGCCGGGCAGGAGGCCTGCGCGAGCCAGTCCCGGCGCGCGGGGGCGGCGGCGGCGGGGGCGGGGGCGGAGGCGCGCAGGGGGGGCGCGCAGGGGGGGCGCGGGGGGAGGGCCCGGCGCCGGGGCTGCGCGTCCGAGGCGCAGCCGAGCCGGGACCCCAGCTCCTCCGCGCAGCCGGGGCGCTGAGCCCCCCGCCCTCCAAGCCGCCTCGGCCCGGGCCCCGGCCCCGGCCCCGGCCCACGACCGTCCCGGGGGCGCGGGGTTCAGGTCCAGCCCCGCTCCGCGGGCTGCAGGTAGCCCCGCGCGGCCCTCCCACTTCCTCTAAGGGCTCGTCGCGTTGCAGGAAACCGCAGCGGCGGCCGGGGCAGCTTCCCACGCCGGCCCCTCCGGCTCGGGGCTCCTCCGAGTCTCAGCCTCGCACGCGCGAGGAGACAAAGCCGGCGCTGGGGTTGGGGGAGGGGGATGGCCCGCGAAACGGCCTCAAGATCGTGCCTTTGTTCCGGGGAGCCTCGGACACGCTCCGAAAGCGACGTGGGCCCCCAGCCCCCGGCCCCGGCGCCGCAGCCCCGCATCGCGCCGCGCCGGCCCGGAGCATCCAGCCTGGCACGGTTTGCGTTTATTGCGGAGCGAGACTCCTAAGCGTTCCACCAACACATATGGCAGAGAGCGCTGCAACCGTAACATTGCACATTTTTTTGCAGTCACTGCCTTAAATGTGTTAACAGACAGGACGGCCTTGTTCTGGAGCAGGAGCGTAAGCGATGCGGAACAAGCCGAGCCGATCCCCGCCCCCAGCCTCCGCGGCGCGGAACCCTGCGCCGGGCGCCGATTAGCCGCTGGGTCCCCCACGCCTTTGCTTCAGTTCTTCCGTCTGTGTTCCAGAGATAATCATTTATTGCCAAGTTTGAATACAGAACCGTATGCCCTATAGGTAATGTTTGGCTTGCATCCAAAGGAAGGAGTTCATAAAGTCCATCGAAGAACTGATTGTTCACCGAGGTGAGCCGGACGCGAGTGAGAACGCTTGAAGTCACTCCAGAGGTGGTCAAGACCCTCTGGTTAGTGCCACAGCGTTTTCGCTACTTGCAGAGCTGCTGGAATGAACGCAGGTAGTTCTTTAGGGCAAGAGCAGAAGTTGAAGGTTCCCAAATAGCACCGGGGTGCTCAGGCTGACTCAGTCCTGCACTGGAGGTGGGAGAGCGTTGAACTACGGCTTGGAAACGAAATGACAGCCAGGTGTAATAGTAACTGACACCGAACCAGTTAAGTCACGTGACTATGAATCTTAGCCGTTGCCTAAAATCTTAAGGTTGGTATATTGTTTAAGTGCTATTTTTAGTCTCACAAAAAGGATTGCCTGCGAGCTGGAAGGGTCACCCTAGTGAAGCAGCCCCAGGATGGAGTGTCCCCCCATACCAGCTGCAATCTGGAATTCCAATGTTGTATCTAGTCTCAGGTTACTTCAAGACCCCTTTATTTATTTAAGATTTTAGTTATTCATGAGAGACACAATGAGAGAGGCAGCGGGAGAAGCAGGCTCCATGCAGGGAGCCCAATGTGGGACTCGATCACCGGTCTCCAGGATCACGCCCCAGGCTGAAGGCAGGCACTAAACCACTGAGCCACCCAGGGATTCCTCAAGACCCCTTTAAATGTGGCATCATAGATTTCCAAACCTAAATAATAGGACCAGACCAGTCCCTAGGTTAGGACCTGTACTGACCCTGGCCTTATCCGCCCCCCACACACACACACCATCTCCCCCTATTTAAACTCCTCCTTGGGGACCCATCAGCTGATTACCACTTAGTCTGGAAAACTTTCTCTAACCAAAACCCCTCCTCCAGCTCACCTAAAATTTTGCTGCTGGAGTTTAATCCCTTTGAGTAGTTTATTTCCCTAGAACAAAGCTGTAATCCTGGGAAAGGTAATATTTAAGCCTTATTAGTCATTTATACCTAATTCATCAGATTGTTTCCCCAAAGCAGCTTTTGATGGCAGGGAATATAGAGATAGCATATGCCGATGCTGTCAAAATAGGAGCGGGAAGGGCGGCCCAGGTGGCTCAGCGGTTTGGCGTGGCCTTCAGCCCAGGGCCTGATCCTGGAGACCAGGGATCAAGTCCCACGTCGGGCTCCATGCATGAGGCCTGCTTCTCCCTCTGCCTGTGTCTTGGCCTCTCTCTGTGTTGTCTCTCATGAATAAATGAATAAGATATATAAAAAATAATAAAAAAAAAGGAGAGGGAAATGTGGTTGCATTCTTTGGGGAAATATATGGAGAGAAGTACAGACAATAAAGTGCCTCCCCATTTTATTGCTAAATGAGTCCCACGTGGGGCAAGAATGAGCCCCAAAGCACTGACTTTAAGAGGCCGGAAGCCAGGATACACTTAGCAATATTACCTATTTTGACAAATATTCTTTCATGATGCCTTTGCAAAGTATCTTCAGCAGGAATTGTGTCTGTGCTCATACAGAAGGGTGGAATGACAGCTGTATGATCAGGGTATCCAATAATCAGGAATAATGATTCATCTTTGTTATTCATCACTGACTACTCAGTTCTAACTCACATGAGCACCACATACAGATAGAGCCAAATCTTCCATTTGTTCTTTTATTATAAGGCACTCTCTTGTTCTGTGCTTTACAGATTAGTTTCCTTTGAAAATCCTCCCACAGTTCAACTAAGATGGACTTAACATTTCAATTATGATTAAAAGGAGAACTAAAACCCCACCTTCAACAAGCCTAACTGTGCTTCTGTAATGATTAACTGAACTCCAGGACCACCGACTGACCGTAGAGAGAAAGCTAATAACTTTGTTGATACTATTACTTCATCTTCCCCCATTGTGATTCTCTAAATAATTCTCTGTGAAAGGCAGGGAATTCTTTGGGATTCTGCTTCCCAATGGCTGGGCTCAGGAGAGGAATTACTATCTGCTAGCAATAAGCCACATATCTGAAGCAAAGTCTTAAGTCTTAAGCATTCCAGGGAATGCACACAGCATCCATCAGGGGGGAAAAAAAAAGTCTCAGGAAAGAGCCTATCTACTGTTTTCAAAAGGGTCCCCCTGTCATTTCCCCGTGAAGGCCAAGCAACTGCACAGAAGCACTATGAAAATCAAGTAAGCAGAGGGCAAAGGAAGGTTCAGGATGATCACTCTTCTTTTTTCTTTCTTTTGTTTTTTTTTTAAGATTTATTTATTTATTTATGATAGAGAGAGAGAGGCACAGACACAGGAGGAGGGAGAAGCAGGCCCCATGCTGGGAGCCCGACGCGGGACTCGATCTCGGGACTCGAACCTGGGACTCCAGGATCACGCCCTGGGCCAAAAGCAGGCGCTAAACCGCTGAGCCATCCAGGGATCCCTTCTTTTTTCTTTCTTTCTCAACACCTAGTAAAGAATTGGTTACCTAAAACCAAAGTCTTTACCATGTAGTATTAGGAGAAAATTAATCTGCAGGCTAGAATAGTTTTTTTTTTTAAAGTCCAGAAGCATTAGATCAAAATGCATTATAACACATATTTTTAGTAAGGATAGACTTCCCTAGTTTCACTTCCATCTTAGCCCCTCGATAGAGAGAGGGCAGGAGGTTAGGGCAGCAAATGTGTGGGAAAGGGGCACTTGGGTTCAAAAGAGGCCACACATGCAGGAACCAAAATTAATAATACTTTGGGAATGGAATCATCCCTCCCAGAGCATGCCTTTTTGATATATTTTCAATAATGTTTTTCAAAACAGAGGTAAGTCTGCCTCTTGTGAAAAGCTTTAAAAGGTTTCAGGTTTTTTGCCCTAGTATATGCTTGATCATCTTTTTTCCCCCATCCCATACATTTTGTACCCATCAGGGTTAAATTTCTTTCAGATGTCTCATGAATTTTTTTAAAGTAAGAGAGAAAATAAAGAATGCACGATTAGGGATCCCTGGGTGGCGCAGCGGTTTGGCGCCTGCCTTTGGCCCAGAGCACCATCCTGGAATCCCGGGATCGAATCCCACGTCAGGCTCCTGGTGCATGGAGTCTGCTTCTCCCTCTGCCTGTGTCTCTGCCTCTCTCTCTCTCTCTCTGTATGACTATCGTAAATTAAAAAAATA